ATGTCACCCCAAGCCAATTCCTCCACTGCCACCATTTCAAAAAACTGAATTCACATTACCCAACTTCCTCACCTAGTTCCCTTTCCAGATCTCTTTACTTGGTGCATGTAATTCAGGGAGTCTTGGTCTCATACCTGGAGCCTGCATGCAAGGTAGGCTGGGAAAGCTATTTCTTCCTTCTGTGAATACCTTAGAAAGATGGAAGGAATTCCTTAATTCCTTAACTAAATATGGGAGACCTGTTCACAAGTCACAAGTGTGATGAATATGCACTGGGGTGTCAAAGACAATGGTAAGAGAGAGAGCTCAGTGTAAGGAGCTCAAACAAGAGATTCACTGGGGTATGTGGTATTGGGGGAAGGGACCCGTTGGCCCAGACATCACATTCATAAAGGGATTTTCCACTTTTGATGTTATTACCAAATGAAGTTATAAGTGAAGGTCACAGAGAAACAGTAATGGGACAGAACGGAATTCATTCTTTACCTTTAAGCCTGTGCACCATAATTGGACTAGCCTATCTCAGATCACTATGAAATAGGGAATTTTATGAATGCTAAAATTATCCTGGAACTAGCATTGCAAAATTATACCATATTTTTGTGTACTACCTATTTGTTACCTGCAGCCATTTAAAATAAACCACAACTCTTGTTCTTTTAGATCTGGTCTTCTTTTTTGGTGGCATCTTAAGAAGAAATGGCCAGGATCACCTTTAAGAGGCTCAGCACTCAAAGGAGGGGGGATTTTGTGGGCTGGGGAGGGAGGAGAGGAGGGCCCCAAACTTTGTCTCTGAAGGATTGATAGGGTTTTGATTATTGCAGAGAGAATGGGGGAGGTCATCGTGGGTAAGTGTCCCTCCCAGAGGGAATCAACCTCTTTTCCCAAAGGGATATTCATCCCTTTCCTTGTCCCCACACCCCTGAGAGGAAAGTTCTTCCTGTGACATGGGTGATTAGCAGGTCCCCACCACCTACACTGACTCAATCCTGCAGGTCCCCAGCTCAGGGTTGGATGTGGGGCTGGGGCTGCATTGGTGAAGCCCCTGGGAACTGAGATTAGGAAAGACTCAGCTCTGCAGGTGGGGGAGGGCTGGGGGACTGCTCCTGTCATTGTTGGCGTGAATAAGGGACATTTAGGGGAATTAAGCGGAGTTTATTTGTAGGGCAGTGTTGAGCACCTGAAAAGAACAATAGTGCTGTCCTAATTAATTGAGACAGAGGTTATAAATTAGGGCTTCCAGAGAGGTCCTTGGGGTTCACCTTGTCAGGATTTTCTTGTGGGAAGGTTTTGGAGGCTGCCCAGAGAATGATATTTCAGGGGCCTTGGGGGGTTTAGGGTCTGAGGTCCATCCTCCTGCCAGTCCTGGGACGACAGGTCACGTGTCTATACATCGCAAACTCCGGGATCCCAATCAGTAGTGTGTGTGTGTGTGTGTGTGTGTGTGTGTGTGAGAGAGTGAGAGAGAGTGTGAAACCACACTCTGTCAGCAACGAAGTCATATTGATTCCACCCCTGAGGTGCCTCTCAGGTCTCTGTTTTTGTTTTTTTTTTTTTAACCCACACATAAATTGGCTTGTTACATGCCAGGCACTGTTTTTTTTTTTTTGAAAATAAAATACATCTAGTAGTCCCCCTTATCTGTGGGGGATATGTTCCAAGAACCCCAGTGGATGCCTGAAACCATGGATAGTACCAAAACCTATACACACTATGTATTTTCCTACACATACATACCTAGGATAAAGTTTAATTTAGAAATTGGGCACGGGAAGACACTAACAACAACTATAACAAAGTAAAACAACTATGATAGAATACTGTAATAAAAGTAACATGAATGTGGTCTCTCAAAATATCGTATAATACGTACTCACCCTTCGTGAGGATGTGGGACGGTAATACAAGCCAATGTGAGGAGATGACGTGAGGCGAGTGGCGCAGGCACCAGGACATAGCGTTAGGCCACTATTGACCTTCTGCAGATTCGTCAGGAGGAAGAATCTTCTGGGTCCCCAAGATTCCAGAAGAATGCTGCTAACTGAAAGCTCAGAACGTGAAACTGCGGATTAGAGGGACTACTGTATCTGTTCTAAGTTGCTTGCATGGATTAGATTCATTTAATCCTCACAAAAATCTATGACGAACTGTTAGCCCTGATTCGCAGATGAGTAAACGGAGGCACAGAGAGGTTGTAGGACTTGCCTTAACCGCACAGAGCTAGGGAGTAGCACAGATGGGACTTGATCCCAGGCTACGTGGCTCCAGAGCTTGGGAGCTCAGCCAGCTCACCCCACTGCCCCTCCTCAAGGAGGGCCTGCCATTGCTGGAGGCTCAGCCTCAGCACTTCTGGCCTGAGTAGCTGCACCGGGCCAGCCTAGGTTTTTGGTGAAAATTTGAAGTTATGTAACGCAAACATATTGAAAAGGTGTATTCGTGTAGAGTGTATTTTGAAATAGTGTGACCCTCCAGTTCGAAAAATGTAAAATAATAATAATGATAATAAACCTTTTCAAGTTGGCTGGCCCAGGGAATTGCAAGGTGTAGTGGAGCTATTACCATAGCTCAGTGGCACCAAGTGAGCTGGTAAATAGGTAAGCTCCATCCTTCGTCAGTCCTGTGGACCTGTCAGTGCTGATGTCATGCCTTGGAAATTCAGTGAGTGAGTCGGCTGCTAGTGCCCGGTTAGGTCGACAGGCACTGTTGTTAGCACAGAGAAGCGTTTTCAGATCCTGTAACAATGGCATCCGCGTGTCAGTTCGGTGGCAGAGCTTGCCGGACCGTTCCAAAAACGGAACGCACATCAGTAGCTTTGGACTGGAGGTGAGAGGTGCTAAAATCCCACAGAGAAGGCCGAGTAAGCACCACGATGCGCACTGCGGCCGACTGAGGAGCAAGCCCTCTGCAAAATACAGGAGATGGTGCTGAGGCCGCGGAGAGCCGCCCGGAAGCCAAAACGCAGCTTCCGGGGTTACAGACTTACGCCCAGCAAGGAACAACCCTCCCACTTCACATATACTTCTTTGGGAAGATTAGTCTCCTATGAAGTGAAGTTTGAGTTAAAGGTGCTGAGCCCCGTGCTCAGCTCCAACAGGTATTTTTCCTTCTTTTCTCTCCTTACTGCTGAGAGAATGGCTCCGGGATTAGTTAAAATAGATCCTGGTAGTCAAGCTCTCCAATCAGAGTGGGGCTGAGTCTCCCCCTGGGACCAGAGATTCCCAAGGGGGCGGGGCGTGACTCCTAGGTTACACGTGCACTCACGCTAACGGGCCACACTTTGAGTCCCCACCAGACCGTAACTGTTGGGCCAGGCATTTACGTATCGGGGGTGGAGACCAGATGGGGGTCTTAATCCCTGGGATGGCACAGGATAGCAAATCCTGGATGCCCAGCAGGTATGACACTAGCTCAGTGCTTGGCACAGAATAGGGCTTCATTAGACGTTTGTGTGATGAATGAATGAACAGCCTTTATAGGGCTCTTTGCCTTTGACTGCTCTATTTTCAGGGCCAGACCAGGGCAAAGATGAAAAGGTCTCTAAAATTCTCAGCAATTCTGGGTTTTCATTTCCTTGGTCTAGGCCAGAGACATGACCTGGATAATAAAAAAACATTCAACATTTCTTACACGTGTCTAAGGCAGGGTTCCTCAACTTAAAAAAAATACTGTGCTGGATAATTCTTCAGTGTGGGGGCCGTCCTGTGCATTGTAGGATGTTTAGCAGCAGGCCTGGCCCGTAGATGCCAGTGGCAACCCCCACCCAAGTTGTTAAATCATTTATCTCCAGACATTGCCAGATGCCCCCAGGCAGGGGCTGGATTACCCTCAGGTTAGAAACAACGGTCTGGGGCAGTGATTCTCGAGTGGCATATTAGAATCACGTGGGGAACTTTAAAAAAATACTGGTGCCTGGGTCCCGCCTGGAGACACTCTGATGTAACTGGTAAAAAAAAGCGGCCTGGGTATAGGGAGTTCTGTAAGCGCCGCAGGTGGTTCTAATGTTCAGCCAGATCTAAGAGCCTCTGGTCTAGTGTTTGGCAGTCTCCAAGTTGTGTACGCATTACCAAGCTTCACAACCCACCTTGGTGGGAGGTGAGGTAGATTGTTAGTGGGGTTTTCTGATCTGAGAAGTGAGAGCCAGAGACGTGTGGTGTTGCCGTGTGAGTGGTGGGATTGGAGTTCGAACTCCGCTCCTCTGACTCCTACTCCAGCACTCTTTCCAAGGGGCAGGGCACAGCCTAAGCAGAACTGATGTTGAAGGGGTCCTGGATGTAAGTCTTCCATGTCCCAGTGGTTTTCCCTATTCTGGTCTCTCATCTCCTCACTCACCCTCCAGTTTCCCTGAGTTCCTTTATGCAGAAGCACACTAGCAGTCATTTACACTTTAGTGTGAACACGAGGCTGCTTTCTCTCCTCTAGAGGGATTTGCAAGTTATGCCTCATCTGTGAAAAGGAAGGCTTTATGGCAGCCCATAGAGGAGGTGGGAATGGTTTTGGGGGTGGTGAAGTGTGTGCTCATGACGCCTCTGAAATCAAATCCAACTGGAAATTGACTTTGATTAAGGTTCACATCATTCTAGCTTTGGCTTGCAATTCTATCCAGTTCCATCTCATTCACAAATAATTTTTAGAGCATCTCCTATGTGTACACATGGAGCTGGAGATCTCCGTTGGTTGGATCTACTTCACCAGGCTTTAAGTGCCCAGGGTGGAGGGCATCTTCTCCTGCTTCTCTGGCACTCACCACATTTTTTGGCCCTGAATGGACATGAAACATGGTAGGTACTTCATACACGTATAGCTGAATGTGAGGTCACACATCCTGACCCCAAGCCTCTGCCCCTGGGGAAAGACCTTACAGGTGCAATGTCAGGACTAAATCTGCAGGTGTGTGGATGAATTTCTCCCTCGGCCCAGGGGTGGCATCAGGAGAAGATGGCTTCAGAAGCCCCGGAGAAAAAGTGAACACAGGAGGGTTTGGAAGCTTCTTCAAAACAGATGTCTTGGGGAGAAATCACTTTTATTGTGATGGTTTTGTTTTAAGGAAAAGAAAAGAGACAAAACCAAGAAAGAGCCTCTGCTAACAGATGGCTGGGGGCGGCTGGACATTTCGGTCCCATGCTGCGCAAAGAAGGGGATACTGGCCCACACGTCCACGCCGCTCATTCCTCAAGCTCCAGGTCTGCCCAGGCTTCAGTGCACCTTCTTGAATACTTGCTTGCAGACCACACCCTGCACTCTCATCTCCTGAAACAAAAGTAGATGCTTGTCACTGGCCAGAGCAAGGTCACACTTGGGGCTCAGTGCACGCAGGGGCAGGAACTTGGAAAATACTCCGTGTCTGTTATTTTTCCTCAAGAGTTGGTTGGAACTAACCAATTCCTTGGAAAGTCAGTTGAACCAGATCCGTGGAGATGGGGCTCTGCTATGCCCTGTAGGCAGAGCTGGCTGGGAAACAGATGTAGCTCAAAACTGGCCAACAGGATCTTCTGATGCCTCCCCTCCCCTTACTGTGCTCAAGGGGCCAAAAGGCTTTAGGGCCTCAGGCCTGAGCCCAGGAAAGAGTCTGTGCCCAGGCCTGGAAGAAATCAGGCCCAGACACATGACTTGGCCCCAAGGGAACTCAGTAGGTTGTCACAGGCCAAGGCTGGAAATTAGGACAGAGACTCCAGCTTCAGCTGCACGTTGGAGTACCTGGGGAGTTTGAAAAATGCCTGGGTCCCAGGCTAGACGAGTTGTATCGGTGTCTCAGTGGATGGAGCACTGGAACTGCTATCAATAAAAGCTCCCAGGTAGTACTAAAATGCAGCCCAGAAGACCCATGCCCTGCCTACAGGGCAGCCCCCACGGAGATGCCAGGAGGAATGACAGCACAGTGTCACCACACCTTGCGAGTGTTTTGTTTTGTTTGAAGAAGGCTGGAAATTTGAATATTTATGTGACATCTCCTAATTTTATTAAATTGTTGCCTGAAGAAGCTTGAAGCTCACTGATGGCCAAATAAAAGAGGCCCGAGGCCCTCAGTTTGCAACTTCTGGCATTGAGCCACAGAACTACTGAGCAGAAAGAGCCAGTGGAGATCCCATCATCTTCCCTCAATTGCTCTGCAGTTGAGGAAATAGAGGCCCGGGGAGAAGACGGGCTCAAGGTCAGGCACTGCAGCCCAGGCTCTCCACATTAGCCTAAGCTGCCTCTGAAAGTCGTGCCCTCCTGCCTCCTTCCAGCACTCACACATCCCGGGGCTCTTACAGACTCTGGTCTTTGCAGAACCCCCGTGTGGCGGGATGGCGTTTTCCAGATGAGGCTGAGAGAAGGAAGGCACTTACTCAAAGGCACCCAGTGAGTCAGGAGTTGAAGCCGGGTCACCCGGACAAGGTTTTTTTTCTTCTCAGAAGGAAGGTAGTCTGGGAGTTCCAAAGGGGCAGGAGTGATGGGAGGTCTCCTTTCAAAGGACACGCGTTATTTTAGCCCTCCAGGGGCTAAGACCGTTACTCTAGATTTGTGTGTGCTTCTCCCAGACAACGGGTGGAGTAGAAGTGGCTTTGACCAGAGTTCCCAGGCTGGAGGCCCACACCTGAACTGAGAAAGGCCTGTCCTCCCCTGACCCAGAGTGTTGAGATCATGTCTTAGAGAAGCTTAAAGAATTCTCCTTGGTTCTAGCCTGCCACAACTTGGCATGGTGAACATAGGCATTGTTTGGGAGCACATTTCAGTCTTCCGGTTTCTAGCTGTGTAACTTGGATATAAGCCTCTGTGTCCCCATCTCCAAAATAGGAACCCTAATAGTACCTGGCCCATGGGGCTGCTGAGAGAACAGAAAGAGACATGGAATGCAAAAGAGCTTAGCTCCATGTCTGATGCACCTCTTCACCGCCTGCCTCTGGCTGGACAACTGAGTCAGCCTAGACCTTGAAAACACATCCCTTGGTTTTTAAAGTCACTCAAGCGTCTTCTCCAGGTCCTTAGAAGAAAAGCTTCAAAGCAGAACCAAGGCCCAGCCGCAGGGCATTCTTCCAAAGTCCATTGGACCTCAACAGTGACCAGAGACTCTGGGCCCAGCTCTGCCCCCACCACCCCACACACCAGCAACCTACCAGGTGCAGCTCGTCACCCTCAATCCACTGGGTCCAGCCACGTCCCTCCTTTTCCCCTTTCTGCACACACTCGAGTTTGTCCCCGTCCCAGCTCACCGTGGTCTGCCAAGCAAAAGAACGGGGTGGTCAGTCTTGAGCAAGTAGCCCCTAGGGGCTGGGGGAGGGGCAGCCCCAACCTTGATAACCCAGGGTGCGCTCAAGTCAGTTTCGTTACAGAAAATTTGCAGCCTAACTCTGTCCACCATGTGCTCTTATTACAGTATGCAAATCAGTTTTAAAATGTATAAAAACCTTCCTAGATTTCACCTAAAGGGGAAATTAGGAGAGAAAAGGCCATTAGGGTGGGGAATCTCAGAGCTGAGGCTGAGTAGGGGGCTGGGAAGGGAGGAGGGGCTTCAGAGGCTGGGCGCACAGCAGGTGGGCAGGGAGAGGGCTACCAGCCTGCATCTTGCAGGTGAGGTTGACTTCTCAGAGTGCCCTACCTGTTCCCAGACCTTTCCTTCTTCCCTCCCTCCCTTCCTTCCTTTCATTGTTTCAACCTTTGCAGGGTTAGGACACCTAAAAGACTCGAGCCCTGCCCTCCAAGAGCTTTCCACCTCATGGAGAATGACCTGAGATGTAAATAACCAGCCGGAGGTACAACAACAACTCTTCCAGGCGCTCTCTGTGCTGTCTCCAAATCCTCATGACTGTCCATTTGGAGCATGGATTAGCTTCTCTGTTTTACAGAGTGGGTTAAGGGACCAGCCAAGTTCATCCAGGTGGCCAATGACAGAGTCAGGTCAGAACACAGATCTGTGGGGCTCTGAAGCCCTCCTCCCCACTTAGACTACACTGCTTTCCTAGGTGCCCGGTGTCACCAGAGTTACAGACCAGATGCTGTGGGATCCCAGCAGAGAGTCAGAGAAGGGGAAGCTCTGGGAGGAGGAAGCAACAGGGCTGAACCTTGAAGGAGAGGAGAATGGAGCTGAAGCGGAGGAAAGGAGACACAGGGGGAGAGGGGTTTTCAGTGGATCGCCGTAAGATGAAGACACAGAAATGCAAGCAGCATCAGGCATGCTCTGGAAGCTCCTCAGGTGGGTTCCAGGGAACCTTGGGAGAACAAGGGGGAAGCTTCCACTGCCCAGCTCGTGCTCACTGCCACCCCGCTCCCCACCCTCGAGCCCTCTCATCCTCCCTGAGCACTCTGTGCCCTGCCCAACTGCTGGGCATGCTGAAGGGAAGACAGACAGCAGGAGGAGGGAAGCCCACAGGGCTCAGCCTATGTCCATGGGAGACCTCACAGTCTTGTTGGAGTGGCAAGGGCTCACTCAGAAATACAGGGCTTAGGAGTTGGAATTCAGAGGTGAGACAGTCCCGGAACTCATGGTCTGGACTGGGACCTATGTGCAGGTACAGAGGGCATGCCCCATCTTCGCAGCTACCCACCTCCCTTTGAACAGCCTTCCCCTCTGTGGCAGTTCCACGTTGTAAGCCCTGCCTCCCCACTGTAGCAGTTAGGACTCCGTTTGCCCCTGTTCACTGTGTGTGGCTCTAGGCAAGTCCACCCCTTCTCTGTGCCCCCATGATCCCCCCTGTCACAGGAGGGGGCCAGAGGCCATTAACTCAGAGGCCTTAGCTTTACAGAGGTAAGGTTCTAGGGTCCTTGTGTTTCCGGGCATGTTCGGAGGGTCAGGATTCAGGAGAGAAGGAGAAGGATGCAGTGAGTGGGGGCACTCCTTACAGGAGGACGGCGGCCTCCGTCTCCCAAGCCCTAGTCTCCCTCCAGGGCCTGCTGATGACTGGTGCCCTCTGCTGTCGGGATGCAGCCTGCGCTGGAACACAGCCTGCCAGGTGGAGCCAGCTCTGCGCAGGAACCAGTCTGACCTCCGGTCCTGGGGCCCGTTTCCCTGAGGGAGAAGCAGCACAGAAGGACTTGGGGCCAGGACGTTGCTTTCCGGGGTCTGGAGATCGCTCAGGGCACATGTCCAGCCCCAGAACAGAAGGTCCCACTTCCAAATCAGAACGTAACGAAGTGGATGTTGGATGAGGTGTGTCGCAGGCAGAGACCACTGATGAGTCAAGCCACGAGACAAGATGCCCATTCTCTGCGTGCCTTGCCCATGCCAGGCCTGCAGAGGGACGTGGGGGCTGAGACATCAGACATTCCTCGACTTCAAGGAGCTCATCAGAATACTTGGCTTCCTCATCGACTGAACTCCTCTTTGTTTATCCAGAAGTCTGCTCTGCATACTAAGGGCTCCAGACTCGGATCAGAGGCCAGGAGAGGATTGCTGGTTCCCAGTTACAATATACACACTTCTGCCTCTGCCAGATATATTAGAGTCAATAAGCATATTCATGCCCTCTGTGTTGGAAAATGCAAGAAACGCTCAAAGAAGAGCACAGGAATAAGAACACCTGTAACCTTGCTTCCTCAGAGATAATTACTCTACCATTTTGATGTATTTATGTCCACTCTCTTGTTCTATTAATGCATATATATATTTCTGTTTTTAAAAAATTAGGATCACATCATTTATGGTTTTGTACCCTAGTTTCTTCATTTAATAGAAGCAATTTTCCACTTCAATAAACATTCTGCATAAGCATTATTTTAATTGTTACATAATATTCAGGAAATGGCTACATAATTTGTGGGTCCCAGCACAAAATGAAGATGAGGGGCTCCTTTAAAAAAAAATGATTTGGAATTTTAAGATGGTGACAGCAGAGCATTAAACCAAGTGAGGGGCCCTTCTGTGCGTTGTGGCCCATGTGACTACACTGGTCACAGGACCAGGAGGCCAAGCCCACTAGTATTTCATTGTATATGCATACTATTATTTAGCTCATTCTGCATTCTTATTTATTATTCTGTGCTATTATAAATAAGACTGCCTGGTATACACAGTTTTGAATACATCATGTTCTTTTTGTTAGGCAGGAGGGGCAGAGGGTGAAGGAGAGAGAGAGAGAGAGAGACTCCCAAACAGGCTCCACGCCCAGCAGAGCCCCACAAGGTGCTAGATCCCACGACCCTGAGATCATGATCTGAACCGAAATCAAGAGTCGGATGTTTAACTAACTGAGCCACCAGGCACCCCTGAACACATCATGTTCTTAGAATAAATTTACAGAGGAAGAATTGTTGCATTAAAGAGTATGCATATTTTTAAGGCTTTTGATAAGTATTGCCAACGTAATCCCCAGAAAGCTGACACCTGTTTACCTTCCAACACCAATGTCAGGGCATGAGGCTTGAAAGTGATGTTCATTAATGGTAAAGCAGGCTTTGCTCCTGAACTAACATGTTACCCTTTCCAGATCATTTGACATCTTTTAATGGGGACCATTTGGATATAAATAATAAAATACCTTACCAAAAGAATGATGGATAGCAGAATTTCAGGCATCCTGAGAGATGGAGGGATATAAGGAGTGGGTGGAAGGCTCTCTGGGTATAGAGAACCCTTTCTTAGAGCCCTACCAATCAGGACCCTTTAAGAGAAGGATCCCTAATGCACAAATGCTATGGCAGTTTCCAAAGGCACTTTCTCAACCTCAAGTTCCTATTGACTCTGACCTTGAGTGAGTTAGACAGAACAGAGACAAGAATGGTCTCTGAGGCTGAACTCAGTGATGCTAAGTGACTTTCTCAGGGTCGCCCAGCTAACAAGGAAAGAATTTGGGCTGGAACATGAGCCTTGCATGACTCTGTGCCCCATGTTTCCCAGCCTAGGGCAGGGCACCTGGAAATGTCTGCTGGAGACTCTGGGACCTGCAGGTATACTTGGGCATTATGCTGAGACTCTGAGCCGCCCCCCAGGAGAACACCTTTCGATTCAGTCCAACCACTGTTGGGTGTGGGTGCTGGGAGCCAGAGATGGGTCCTAAAGGGCAGACAGAGAAGTGCCAGGTGCTTACAGCCCAGTGTGGTTGGCACTGGGATAAGGGGAAGCGTTAGTGGCTGTGGTGCCTGGGAGAGCTCCTCATTCTCACAGGAAACATTAACTAGTTTTTTTTCTTTTCTTCTTTTTATTTAAGCAGGAAGGCATTCCAAACACAGTGAGCAAGGACAAGCAAGCTAGTGCTGTAAAAGCTGTCCTGGGCTTAAGGAGAGGGAGGAACAAGGCTGGGGGGTAGATGGGGCCACAGTGTGAGGCTACAAACTGGGACTGTGGCCTGCAGCATGTTTCCAACGCCTGCTAGCGCTGCCTGTCCCCACACACAGCCCCGTGGCTCTGATCTGCTGGGTGGAACCATCAGGGAGGGCACTCACCCTGGGGACCGGGGAAACTGCCAGGCTGTCCTCCAGGTTAAAGAGGGCTGGAAGGTCAGCCATCATTTCCGCTGGGCTCCTGGCACCTGCCCCCTCTCACGGTACTCCCTCCACCTGTATCAGGTTGGCCCAGTACTGTCAGCAAAGAGCATGGTCCTTGGAGTCAACAGACCTGGGACCTCTGATCCTAGCTATGAGGAAAGACTCTGGGCAATGGGAGTCACCGCTCTGAGCTTCAGTGCCCTCATCTACGAAAGAGGGATTAATGTTATGTATTGTGGCTGACTGTTCCGTGGGTAGCCCCCAGTGGATCACATATTCACACCCTTGTGAAGTCCCCTCCCACAATGACCCTGGCCTTGGCCATTTGGTTTGCTTTGGCCAATGGGACATGATGCATGCAGCGCCTTTATAAACATGTGAACCCTGGGGGCTTGGTCTCTCAGAACCCTCCCCTCTGGGAACTGCGTTACTGTGCTTCAAGGAAGGCCAGCCTATTCTACTGGGGAGAAAGGCCAGGGGGAGAAGCCTGGAGGACAAGAGAGAGGTTACTGCACAAGAACTGAGGCACCCCAGCCAAGCCTTGGCTACATGCAGAACTGCCCAATCAACCCACAGAATCATGGGAATGCATGGTTGCCCTTTTCAGTTACTAGGTTTGGGGTGCTTTGCTATATGGCATTAGACAACCAAGAGACCTACTTTCCTAAGTTGTGCTGAGGATGAGAGAAAAAATACATAAAATGCATAGGGCTGGCATGTGAGGCACTAAGTCATGGTAATCAAGACATCCAGAGTTTAGATAGGGAAGGGATTTTCTGGTCCAAGTTGAACCATAACT